AAGTCAGGGGAAGGAGGAGCATGTGGAGGAAGAGGAAGAGGAGGAGGAGGAGGAGGAGAAGGAGGAGGAGGAGGAGCGAGACGCTGATCAGGGAGTTCCAGGGGCATCTAGGGCACTGTAGGGGCAGGAGGATCAGGAGCATGAGGAGGAGGGGGAGAAAGAGAAGGATGAGGAGGAGGAGGAGGAGGAGGAGGAGGAGGAGGGGGAGGATGAGGGCGAATGATGATGGTGGTGGTGCTGCTGCTGATGATGCTGATGATGATGGTGGTGGTGGTGGCGGTGATTATCATGTTGTTTGTCATGCTGCTGCTGCTGTTTCTGGTGCTGATGCTGATGACGATGATTCTGCTGGTGCTGATGCTGATGCTGGTGCTGATGCTGACGATGGCGACGACGATGACGACGATGAGGAGGAGCTCGAGGAGAAGGAGGATGAAGAGGTGGACTGGGCCTTGCGCGTGATCCATGTCGTCAACTGCTGTGCACTCACACGTGGCAACGCGCTCGTGCACGCTACGACGCAAATCTAACAGTTATCCGCTTGTCCGTGTATATATATATATATATATATACAGAGAGAGAGATAGATAGAAAAAAAACAGAACCAGAGAAAGAGAGAGAGTGAGAGAGAGATGAGAGGAGGAGGAGGAGGAGGAGGAGGAGGAGGAGGAGGAGGAGGAGGAGGAGAAGGAGGAGGAGGAGGAGGAGGAGGATGAGGAGGGGGATCCTCCCTCGTTCTCATCCCGCACCCTCTTCTCCATCATTTTCCCCTTCCCCATACGCTCCTTCCATTCGCTACTCCTCATCCCGCACCTCCCCTCCCCCGTTTATCCTTCTTACAATATTGCATCATTCTCACCCTCGGCCTACTGCTCATCATCACTGCTCTCCCCCCTGTGCTTCTCCTTCTCCATCTCGACCACCTCCTCCTCCTCCTCCTCCTCCTTCTCTTTCTCCGGGTCCACCTCATCTCCCTCCACTAGGCTGCTTGTCCCGCTGTTTATTTTCCTGTTTAGGCTCCTCCGAGAACGCGTCGCTCTGGCACAGTTGTCAACTCTACCTCGACAGAGCAGAACGGTGTAGCAACCAGGCTTGCAGCGATTGCTGTTTCGAGGAGGATCCGGAGGAGGCGCAGGAGTCGGAGGGCAAGGGCCATGAGGAGGACAAGGGCCAGGATGAGGAGATGGGGGAGGGGGATGAGAAGAGCAATGCTCCAGTTTCGGTGCTCGGGGCTCGTCTAGGCGGTGGAGGAGGAGGACCAGTGCAAACCCAAGACTCATCAGCGATGTTGCAACAAACCCTCCCTCCAAGTCCCCTCTTCATGAGCTCCTATATTGATGTATCTTCGCTGCGGGAGGGGCCCCGTCGGAACACATCCGTTTGAGAATCTTCAACCGTGCCAGGGCACCATTCCTAGGACTTCAATGCCGCGAATCACTGTTACGTTGTGACCTGGCGATCCTGAATCGTGCCAGAACGCCATTTCTGGGACGTCAACACCACGAATTAACCTGACTGTCGTGCCCTGACAATCCTCAATCAAAACACCGCTTCTGTGACGTCAACCATGGGAATCCTTGAACCTGTTGTAAACTTTGAAAAACGGATGCGCGCGGCGCTAAGGCGAGAGCCACATTTTGAAAAGGAACCGCCCTCCATCCGTGAAATTCTTGCAGACTTTAATGTGAGATCTACATTTTGAAACGTCCAGCCCTGCATCCGTGAATTCTTACAAGTTTGTAAGACGAATGTGCGCGGCGCTAGGGCGAGAACTGCATTATGAAAACGGCCCGCAGTCCATGAGAGAACCCCTTGCGAGCATTGGAAACCATATGTGCGGAGCGCTAAGGCGAGAGCCACACTTTGAAAACGGCCCGCCCTCCATCAGTGACGTTGTTGAACATTGCAAGCATCATAATCATACAGGGTGAGGGAGTCTCAGGCGAAATGCGCAGCCCGCCCTACTGACCCGTCTCGGGGTGCGACAGGGAGGAGTTAGGTGCAAGGAAACGGATGGAGGATCAGGAGCAGAAACAGGAGCAGGAGGAGAAGGACGAGGACGAGGAGATGGAGGTGGAGGAGGAGGATGAGGAGGAGGAGGAGGAGGAGGAGGAGTTGGAGGGCAGGAGGATGAGGAGGAGAGGGGGGGAGGAAAACAAGGAGGAGGAGGACGAGGAGGAGTAGCAGGATGAGGGAGGGAGGAGAAGAAGAGGAGGAGCAGGAGAAGGAGGAGGAGCAGCCGCAGCAAGAGTGAAAGGAGGAGAGGGACCGTGAGGAGGATGAGAAGGAGGAGGAGGATGCTGCAACTGATGATGATGATGATGATGATGATGATGATGATGATGATGATGATGATGCTGATGCTGATGACGTTGATGATGAGGATGAGGATGAGGATCAGGATCAGGATCAGGATGATGACGATGATGATGATGATGCTGATGATGATGCTGATGATGATGATCGTCATGCTCATGCTGATGATGATGACGATGATGATGACGATGATGATGATGATGATGATGATGATGATGATAGTGATGATGATGATGATGATGATGATGATGATGATGATGATGATGATGATGATGATGATGATAATGATTATGCTGATGATGAATATGATTATGATTATGATTCTGGTGGTGGTGGTGATGATGAGGAGGAGGCGGAGAGGGGGGAGGAGGAGGAGGAGAATGAGGACTAGGAGAAAGGTCAAGTTAGCCAGGCCGAGCGAGTCCGATGGCCCCGCCTATTCCCACCCTTCCTCCCATAGTGACACAGCGCATTGCGGCACAGCCTGATCTGGGGATCGGAACGCGTTCCCACCCAGCGAGCAGAAGGCGCTCGCGCGCGGCCCCGCTCCCCGACGACTTGGCGAAGGGAACACGACGCGGGTCGCGCAGGGGCGGGAGCGGCCCAGCTTCCGATGAGCTCGGCGAAGACGAGGCAGGCGCGCTGCTGACACAGCACGGCCCCTTCCGCCCACAGACTGCGCGGCGCTCGGGCGAGGAGGCGACGGGTCACCCGCTCGTCCGGGCCGCCAGACACCGGCGAGTGACACATCTGCGCCGCGCCAGGGCCGGAGTGGCACTTTCGGGCGACGCGCCGAAGCGAACACGACAAGCTCGTCCACGCGCGCGGCGTCGGAGTGGCGTGCGAAAAAGGTGCGCCGCGCCCAGGAGGGTGGAGGAGGAGGTGGCGCTGCCCAGACCCCCGATGCCGTGATTTCTCACGGCGTGAGCCTTCAGAGTCAGGTTCGGCAGTTCTATTAAAGGAGGTCCAGCGAGAAAACCAGCCGGAATCTTCGGAACATCTTCTGCAGGAAACTCAACCTCCCCAGAAATTTCAGCAAAACTCTAAGCCGAAACCTGCGGTGATCTCAAACTCTAAAGGATCTTCAAAACATATCAAAGCCAACACCTGCGAAAATCGCAAACTCTAAAAAAAATTCAAAAACGTTCTAAGCCCAAACCTGCGAAAATCTCAAACTCAAAAATACTTCCAACAAACTCTGAGTGGTGTCCTCAGTTTTGTTTGAGTTCGCCAGGCGGTCAGAACTTTGTTTAGAACTGTTTCAGAGTTCTTTGAGAGTTGTTTTAAGAGTAGTCCGAGTTTTTGTTGAGTTTTTAGGCTTTCGATTTTGTTTCACAGTTTTTCGGGTTGTTTCGGGCGTTTATAGTTGTTTTTGAAGGTTTTTAGTTGTTAGAAGTGTTTAAACGTTCCGGTTTTCAGTTTTTGTTAGGTTTGAGCGTTCCCCAGGTTTAGGCTTAGAGTTTTGTTTTTTTTGTAAAGTGTTTGAGATTTTCGCAGGTTTTGTATTTGAGATATTTTGATTTGTGTTTAGAGTATGAGGTTTTAGCAGGTCGTGGTTTAGAGATTTTGCGGAGTTTTTTTGGTGAGTGTTTGAACATTTCGTAGGTTTTGGCTTAGAGATTGTCTGAAGTTTTTTTTGGAGTCCGAGATTTTCGATGGTTTTTGACTTAGAGATGATTCTGAGTTGTTTTGCGTTTGAGTTTCTTCGCCCCATATGGCGGTGGACCGCTTGTAGTCGCTACTGCCGAACCTAACCCCAGAGGTATGGACCCCTTCCCGCGGACCAGCCTTACGTCCTGGGGGCCGTTGTCCGACGGCCCGCAGGGCCAGGCAAGGGCGCCTCAGAGGTCGGCGACATACCCCCCCCGGAGTCTTCCCTCGCAACGTGCCCACGACGCGAGGAGGCGGGGCCACTCTCGATCCGATCGGTCCGACTCGACGTCGATCCCGGCCTGCTCGATCCGACTCGATCTCGGTTACTCCCACGATCCTTGCATAGCATTGCCGTGCACAGAATAATCCGCCCGATGCTTGTATGGCCCGATGCTTTGCGTAGCCCGATGCCTGCATCAGCATAGCATCCCTTCCGATGCCGCCTGATGCTTGCATGGTACTGCTGCGCATCCTGGCGCAGAGGACCCGATTCGATCTCGACCCCGTGCCGATGCAGCCCGATGTCCGACGCACGTCTCGGTCCGATCCGACTTCCCGATGCGACGCGGACCGATCCCGGGAGGTCGGGGCAGGGCACCCGGCGGGGCACCCAGGCGCAGTGCCGCCTGCGATTCCGACTCGATGCGATGCGATCCCCCGGCTGGGGCCGCGATTCCGATGCGATTCGATTCGGCGCAATGCAGCGACATCGGCCGGGGCCAGCCAGAGCCGGGCGCCGCGATCCGAGGCCGATGCGAAGCGAGGCGTGCCGCCAGCGATCTGGCCTGTCTTCGAGCCGATGCGGTTTCGAGACGCGATTCGGCTCGGGCCTGCCAGGAGGGGGCAGGGGTCGGCCTAAACGAAACGGCGCTTTGGCGGTTCCGTGGGCCGTTTCCGTTCCGATGTCGTTTTGCAGCGACGGCGGGCTGAAGACATATGACGCGGGCAAGCGAAGCCAAAACGAGAACGGGTAGCATTGTTTAGGGCGATCCCCGGGAGGGGGACGCAGACGGGACGGCGACGCTGCCCAGATCGACATGGACTCGGCCGCCGCCGGGCTGGGTCGCCTGCGCGGCCTGGCCTGCGACGCCGAAGGCCTTCCCCGCTCTCCCCCCGCGTTGCAGCAGCGCCTGTTGTGTTCAGGAGGGAGAGAAACACACAGACACACTGAATCGTCGATTCCAAGTATATTGTGGGAAAGTATGGGAAGTGGGGGGGAAGACAAAAACCCAGAAAATATGGAGAAAGATGGGACATCTTGTTCTTTGTTTGTATTTATGTGTGTGTGTGTCCTCGGGCACCTTCATGTGTGGCGTACATGTATGCTGTTCGTAGTGCCCGCGTGTGATGTGGTTTCACAAAAGTTTGTGAGCTCCTACCGCCGAGTGGCGCCAACTTGTGGCCCCCTGGGCCAGAAACGGGGATCTGCGAGCAGTCGGCGTCGTCCAAACATATTCATGCTATGTGCGCGTCGCCCCCCAAGGGGCGACGCGCGCGCGCACAGAGAAATCTTGTAGTACAAACTCTGTGGCGGGCGCATTCAGGCCACACCGCTCGGGGGAACGATGTACTACGAGATGGTCATGCTAGATGCCTGGCTCGGACGCACGCCTCCACGGAGGACGCACAGTGCTAACACGGTAGGTTCGCGTCGTGCCGACCCGCGGCCACCCCACCGCGGGAGTTCAAGGTTGAAAGCCGCCAGTGGCCCAGAACCCGCCAGTCTGGAGCAGTCTGGCGACCGAAAAGCCGCCGATCGTTCAACGCTGAACGACCGGCGCGGTGTCCAAGACCAACGCCGAAGCCGACGCGACGCGAACCTTCAGTATGTCCGTGTGCATCCCGGGGGTCTGAGAGCAGTCCTGCAGCTCCTCGGGCGACTTCTGGGCGGGCTGGGCCGAGCCCGCTCTCGCCGAAGCCTTCCCCTGGCGGCGGCCTCTCGAGGGGCCGGGGCGCCCGGTGCCGCCTCCGCCGTGGCGCCCACGAGACTTCGGCCCTATGCGGGGTTTTCTCGCTCGCAGTTTACACTCTATTGCCTCCTTTCCTCCTCCTCCTCCTCCTCCTCGCCCTCCTCCTCCTCCTCGCCCTCCTCCTCCTCCTCCTCCTCCTCCTCCTCGCTCTCCTCCTCCTCCTCGCCCTCCTCCTCCTCCTCCCCCTCCTCCCTCCTCCTCCCTCCTCCTCCCTCCTCCTCCTCCTCCTCCTCCTCCTCCTCCTCCTCCTCCTCCTCCTCTTCCTCCTCCAGGGATCTCAGTCCTCCTTGAGGCCCTCCGCCCCGCGCCCTCCCCACCTTGGGCTTCCCCTCCTCCGTCCGCTCCTCGCTCCTCGTGCTGCTCTGGGAACGTGCAGCCTCTCGTGCCGCAGGGGCGCTCGGTGGCCGCGGGGCCGATCGTGTGCGGGCCCCGCAGAGGGCTCCTGCCGGATTCGCCAGGCCCGTGGAGCCCCCCTGCATCGGGGCCTCCCAAGTCCCAGACATCGGGCGTCTCGGAAAAATCGAGGTGGAGGTTTTTCGTAGTTTTGACCTCTCGGGGCTCTCGCCGGGCCTCGGGACCGTCAAAAACCGACTCGGGATGAGTAACGGGTCCCAGGGAAGTGGTCGGGAGGTTGGGGTTCCGTGTCTGGAAAAATCGAGACGTCGGATGTGTGGAGTTCGCCAGGCCCGTTGAGTTCCCCTGCACCTGGGCCTCCCAAGTGGAGTCCGAGCAGAGGGGGCTCGTGGATCGCGCCGCATCGCCGGTGCACCAGCGATGGCTCTAAACGGAGCCCGACTCCCTCCACGCCGACGGTGGCGATGCATCGTCGACGTCGCCGATGCATCGCCCCCATGCGGCGATACATTGCCACGGGAGCGCCCGTGTTTCGGGGCGCGCCTCTGAAATAGTATTGTATCTGCGGTACCCAGCGCAGAGGGACCGAGGGGATCCGAGGACTTACCGCTCGGTGCCTCGCGGCCCGTCGGCGAATACGGCAGCGATGGTGTGGTTGTTGTTGTTGTTGTTGTTGTTGTTGTTGTTGTTGTTGTTGTTATTGTTGTTGTTGTTGTTGTTGTTGCTGCTTCTGCTGCTGGTGATGCTGATGATGACGAATGTGGTGCTGATGGAAATGATGGTGATGACGATGATGGTGATGATCATGATAGTAATCGTGATAGTGATGATGGTGATGATGATGGTGATGATGTTGACGATGATGGTGAGTCTGATGATGATGATGACGATGACGATGCCGATGACGATGACGATGGTGGTGATTATGACGATGCTGATGATGCCGATGGTGATGCGGATGCTGCTGATGATGGTGATGCTGATCATTCTACAGGTGATGCTGATACCGATGGTGATGATTAGCATTATGATGAGGATGATGAGGGTGATCAAGATGCTGATGATGTTGATGATGGTAGTGATGGTGTTGCCGATGATGTTCATGATTATGATGCTGTTGATGACGATGATGCTGGTGTACGTGATGACGATGATGATGATGATGATGATGATGATGATGATGATGATGATGATGATGATGATGATGATGATGGTGCTGGTGATGTTTGTGATGCTGTTGATGATGATGACGACTGTTATGATGATGCTTAGTATGATGCTGGTGATGGTGATAATTCTGATGATATTGATGCTGATTATGATCATGGTGGTGATGGTGATGCTGATGGTCGTAAGTTGTGGTGGTGATGATGACGATGATGACGACGACGACAACGACGATGACGACGATGATGACGATGATGATGCTGCTGCTGATGATGATGATGATGCTGATGATGATGATGATGATGATGATGATGATGATGATGATGATGATGATGCTGAAGATGATGGTGGGGATGACGATGCTAATGATGATGGCGGCGCTTGCGATGCTGATATCAGGGCCATCGTTACCGGGAATCGGTTCGGGGGGGGGATGCATCGACCCCCAAACGCCAACTCAACGCCGATAGGCGGCTAAATAGCCTATTTCTCCGAGGACCATGTGGATGTGCTGTCGGGAGTCTGATGCCGATCTAGCGGCGATGCATCGACGATGCCAGGTCGATGTTTCCCCCCCTCCTCCTGCTCCTTCTCCTCCTCTACTTCCGCCTCCTCCTCCTCGCCTCCTCCTCCTCCTCCCCTCCCCCTCCCCCTCTTCCTCTCCTCCTCCTCCTCCTCCTCCTCCTCCTCCTCCTCCTCCTCCTCCCCCCCTCCTGAGCTGGTCTCCCCCGTATCGCCCCCCCTCATGACAGAGTGCTCTCTGTGACAAAATATACAGCATCGCGGAAACTCACGACAAGAGCCTTACAGTCGGGGCGCTGAAGAAGCAGCTCTTTTCGTTGGGGAGGGGCTCAGTGTTCCTCGATAGTTTTACAATTTGCTCCAGGTGTTCCTCTAGTTGTCATAGGGCATCGAAGTTTCACTGTTGGAGAAGAGTGGCCTCATTCCTAATTCAGGGTTCCTCAGGTCAACGCCCCGACGGTAGACCCCATCTTTCTGCGGCGGTCTTCGAGCGGGGTCGATCCGCGATGGCCCTGGGGAGCGAAGCTCAGAACGATCGCATCAGATGCACACAGAAAGAGTGGAGACGCATCGGTACGAAGAGGCCGACACCACGTCCTGTTCATTTTGAGCACGACTCGCTGTCGCCGTCCCGCGGAGGTTGTCCAGCTGAGACAGACGGCCAGTTGCCCCCCCCACAGCGGCCCCTGTCGGTTTTGGTTTGGACAACATGTGCTGTCGGGCATCATATCCGTATTTTCTGCACCCAATTCGGGCGTTCAGAGGAGCCGCCCGAAGGCGCCTAGCGCGGAGATAGTTTGGAGCGTCCAGATCTCAGGGGAGTGCCGCCCGCCTGCCTGCGCTGCCACCCTTCGAGCATTGGCGAAGCGCCCTGACGTGCCTATAGGCCCACCAGGGAATGTTCTCAGAACCTCTGGTGGTCTGCACGAACCTCTGGTGGTCTGCACGAAGCGTGCCCAGAACATTTGCGACCGAGACTGCCTTGTGGAACACACCTCGGGCGCCGGTTATGAGAGCCTCGGTTTTTGTTCTCAGAGTGCATGGGCGCTGGGAACGTGCCGTGGGGTAGGCCGGGTAGGCCTATGGTTAAGTCGGGCGTGTCCCCCTACAGGGGGATTTTGGGCGACAAAATGAAAATACCCCAGACATGACCCAAAATGGTCCAAAAACGCTCAAAACATAGTCCCAAGACTATTTTTGGACAGTTTTTTGATTTTTTTTGGTGTACTTTTTATTTTTCGTTGTAGGGGGACAGGCCCGGCTTAAGCCTATAGGGATGCCGGGACGGTCTCGCGCGCGCAGCAGGCGAGCTGTTCGCCACCGCGGCCCAGGGGCCCGACGGGCGGACGGCCCTGCTCCTCGGCAGCGCCGCGCGGGGCAGCGCGGGCGGCAGGCGGGGCCCCGCCCAGGGGCGGAGTTATGGCCGCCGCCCCCGCGCGCGGGCGGGGGAACGCCAGGACGACGGTCATGGGCGAGGGAGAGCGGAGGGGGAAGCGATGACGATGACGATGACGAAGATGATGATGCTGATGCTGGTGATGACGATGAGGATGAGGATGATGCTGATGCTGTTGAAGATGATGATGATGATGATGATGATGATGATGATGAGGATGAGGATGAGGATGAGGATGAGGATGAGGATGAGGATGAGGATGATAATGATGCTGATGGTGACGATGATGATGATGACGGTGCTGATGACGATGCTGATGATGATCATGATGATATTGATTATGATGACGACTATTACCCTCATCACCATTATCATCATCAGCAGCAGCAGCATCCTCATTATCAGCATCATCATCATCATCATCATCGTCATCGTCATCGTCTTCATCATCATCATCATCATCATCATCATCATCATCATCATCATCGTCGCCATCGTCATCGTCATCTTCGTCGTTATCATCGTCGTCGTCATCGACATCGTCGCTGTCATCATCATTGTCATCGGGGCGAGAAGCGTTGGAGGATACAAGAGAGAAGGCGTGTGCTGCCGGGGTGAGACGAATGAGGGAGTCACTAGGGGATGGTCAGGACGACTGGCAGTAGTTTGTGATACGCGCGCCGCGACTTGTAATTGTACAACCGGTCCTTTGCCGCTGAAGGGCACGGGGCATAGAGGTGCACTCGTTGTGATCTGTCTTTGACATCGACAGCCCCCTTCGGAAAATGATACGGTGACGCCTGATGGCATTGACCGTCAGCGCGCTCGTTTGCGCGTGGTGTCCCCGTTTTCATATGGTACAGGTTTCAAATATCTCCTCCACTCCATGGCCACCATGAGTCCACTCGAACCCTTGCGGGCTGTGCATCAGCCTTGACGCTTGCAGACTCCACTTCGATCCGACCGATCGAATCCGATGACGATCCCTCCGGGCCCGATGTTCGCATGGCGCTGCTGTGCATCCTAGCGCGGCCGCGCCGCTTCGACTCCGACTTCGCGCCCATGCGCCCCGATCCGATGCTCGCCTCGATCCGATCCGGTCTCGCGACTCGCTGCTGCCTGCTCCTGCCCTGCAACGGCTCGGCTGGCCGACGCAGGGGCGCCTCCGTCGTCCTGCGGCCGGCGCCGGCGTGCCCCGCGCTGGGCGACGACGGCCCCCTGGACCTCTCGATCCTCGGCTGCGGCGGCGGCGGCGAGTGCGCAGGCGAGGCCGGGTGGAGACGGAGACTTTTCGGACGTTCTCGTCGGTGGTGTCCAGCCTCGGGATGCTTTCCGGCAGCGCCGCCCTGCCGAGAGCGCTCTGGGGGTGCCCGAATCGTACCGAGCGGCCGCCGGAGACCCGAGCTATGACCCGAGAGCCAGTCGGCTACAGTATGTCTTGTATGTGTCACTCGCATTAGTCAGACCTGTTTGCAGAGGAAGTGTTGGACCCAAAGCTAATCGCCAGGCCATGTCAGGAATCAGCCTGCGACAGACGAATGATGATAATGATGATTCTGATGGTGGGGGAGGAGGAGGAGGAGGAGGAGGAGGAGGAGGAGGAGGAGGAGGAGGAAGAGCAGTGTAAACCCAAGACGCATCAACCATGTTGGAGCAACCCTCCCTCCAAGCTCCCTCTTCACAGGCTCGTGGAAGGATTTGCTTCCACTGAGGGAAGTAGTCCGTTCCATTTGAAGATCCTCGATCGTGCAACAAAAAGCATTCTCGGGATTATAACTCCACGAATAAAGATATCTGTCGCGTATTGACGATCCTGAACCGTGGCAGATCATCACAGCCCCTGGGACGTCAGCACCGCGTATGAACGTCCTTATTGCGCCCTAACAATCCGGAGCCGTTCCAGATCATGATTTCTGGTACGTTAGCCATGTAATCCCGTGAATGTCCTGCAATTCATTTGTACGGAGGTGTGGGGCGCTCAGGCGAAAACGACATTTTAGATGCGGGGCCGGCCTCCTTCTAAGCTCATGCAGAATTGTAAAACACATGTGGGTGGCGTTAAAAGCGAGAACCCCATGTTGGAAGCAACATGCCCTCCATCTGTAAAGCGGTTGCCAACTTGTGAGCTTCAGGATCATGAGTGGTAAGGCAATCTCAGAGGGAACACCCGGGCCGCCCGCCCGACTGGCCACAGGCCTCGGGGTGCGACAAGGGATGAGTTTCTTTATACGGGCAGAATTGAGGAGATGAGTAGTAGACGGAGCTGGAACGAATTTGATTACGAGACGGACGGGAGTAGGACGGCATATCATCTTTTCATGGTGCAGCACATTGGGTAGCAGCGGCAGCCTGGCGTTCTTCAGATGTCGGAGGTTGGGGGGTGAGATCGAAGTGGAACGGAGAGCCCCCCTACCGGGAAATCAATTTCGGTTTCGTGTTCGTGCGTGCCGTGCGGGCGAGGCGAAGCTGCGTGGGCGGGCGAGAGAAAGTCTCCTGGGGCTGAGGAGATGAAGTCTCCTGGTGTGGCTGAGGCGCGGCCGGACCAAATGATTCCCTTCCGGGCGGCCGGGGCCCCGCGGTGTCCCGCCGGTGTCCCGCTGGTGTCCCGTGTGGCTGAGGCGCGGCCGGACCAAATGATTCCCTTCCGGGCGGCCGGGGCCCGCGGTGTCCCGCCGGTGTCCCGCCGTGTCCCGCGGTGTCCCGCCGGTGTGCCGGTGTGGTGTCCCCGATGATGATGATGATGATGATGATGATGATGATGATGATGATGATGATGATGATGATGATGATGATGATGATGATGATGATGATGATGATGATGATGATGATGATGATGATGATGATGATGATGATGATGATGATGATGATGACGTCGATTGCGAGATCGATTGTGATATCGGTAGTGAGACCGAATGTGAGATCGATTGTGCGATGCTGATGGTGATGATGGCCTTCATGGTGTTGATGTCTGTGATTATGATGACGAAATCGATGATGATGATGATGATGATGATGATGATGATGATGATGATGATGATGATGATGGTGATGGTGATGGTGATGGTGATGCTGATGATCATGACAACTCGACACCAACGCTCCCAAGAGCGAGCGGCAACGCAACTATCTCCACTGGCATTGTCACAACAACATTCACCACTGTTGCCCATTGCTGGGCCCCTCCCCCCCCAACCTCCTTATCACCCGCAGGGTGGTCGTATAGGTACAACCAAGAATTATGCGCGATGGCCCTTTGATGCTGCCAATGGGACAGCCACTGATTGTACCCTTCGCATCCCTCCCAACATGGACGCGGCCAACTGGCGGATTCCGCCTACATGGGTCGCGGCGCACAAACCTCCGCGTCCTCTTCATTGTTATTTTTCTCGGTATCCTCGTTCCCCCCCTCCGCATCATCATCCTTCATATTATTCCTTCCTTCACCACCTCTCGCTCATCTTCTTCTTCCCGTCTTCTGATTCTGACTCCTCCATGCTCCTCCTCATCCTCATGAACATCATCCCTCCCGTAAGTCGCCGTTTTGATTCAAGATGGCTAATCTGTGGGCGAGCAGGCCCAGAGCTGTCAGGAATACCTCTGGGCCGGGGCCGGCTTTCAGTCGGGCGGCTGGCGCGCGCTCGCGCGCAGCCAAATCGCGATGGTGCGAGGAGGAGGCGGGGCGAGCGGCGATTGGCAGAGTTGGCCGAATGACCACAAGAGTAGCAGTCGCCTTCTTCACAACAACGACGTGGTGTGTGTGTGTGTAAGCGGGCGTTGGAAGTTCAGCTGCTCCATCACCAGCAACGAGGACGAGTGTCACTGCTGTGGAGCGTGGCTGGCCAACTTGGTCCCATCATGACATCGCGTCCACAAGGACACATCGACGGCCGTGACATGCCAAAGTCGGTCAAGTGCGCTGACGGCTGGTCACAAGAAACAAGCAACCCGCACACCAAGGCTGTGGGCATCGCGGGGCTCGCGGCCAACAGATACGCAACCATGGGCAAACACGACCCAAGAAGGACACGATACGAGGCAATGTGGCCCGCACTGGTTTCAGTTCAGCTAGTCGGGCCACGGGCAGGGACAGAGTCGGAGTTCGACACCGCGAAGGCGCAGGTCGAACAGCCCCCAACCAGAGTGCCCGAACCAGGAGTACCAGCTGCGGGACCAAGCACCTCAGCTGTCTTCGCTGAACAAGCGGGGGCCAGGCGACTTCCACACACGGGCCGACACAGACGAGGAGACATGGAGGCTGGCACAGTCACGCTGGAAAGCATGGCCAACCTCCGAACTAGAAATTGCAGCCAAAGACTTCTACGACAAGGTCAAGGCGGAAACTGGAAAACACAAAGAGCAGCCACGGGCGTTCGAGCAGGCCAGGGTCAAGAGGCAACCTGGCCAGGCCGCGCCGGAAGGAGGGGGGGGGGCGCCAGTTGGAAAAACGCCGCGCGCAGGCGGCAGCCAAACCAGGGCGGGGTCAGCGCCGGCAGAGGCTAACGGCAGCCAGGGATCAAGCGAGGGGCCCACTGGGTCGGCGGAAACATCTTGCAAAGGAGCGGGCAAAGGTGGAGGCGAAGGAGGCGAAGGAACAAGCTGCGAAGACCCGGCCGAAGGAAGGCCAAAGTTCAAGCGCGCCTCGCCGAAGCCAGGTCCAAGGTCGCCGAAGCCACGAAGGCCGAGCACAAAGTCGCGGAGCGAGACGCCAAGCCGCCAAAAGGGTAAGAACAAAGCGAGGGGGGGGTGGGGCATTGCCGCACTTTCCTCATCGACTTCAACGTCGCAGCCCCCCCCCCTCAGGCACAGGGCCGCGTCGCGACCGCGTCGCGGGCCGCGCGGGCGGGGGCGCCGTCGATGCAGCAGACCGCCGCGCGCGCGGCGGGCTCGACGTCAGCGCGGCCAGCGCGGCGCCCATGAAGAGCGGCCCCCGCAGCTTCTGGACGGAGGCGAGATCTGGGAAAGAGCGAGGCGCCAGAGGAGGCACGGCTGCGCTGACCGGGTCAGCGCTGGCAGGCAGCGACAGGCCGCCAGTTTTCCTAGAACAGAGCGACTTGCTGTCGCCGGTCTTTCAACATGGTTTAAGACAGCTGTGCCTCGCGCTGGCTTCGGTATTGTAGCGTGCTCGAGCCGCGGGGCCCTGGGCCTATTCTTCTTCTGGGCCGATGGTCGCCGTTCGCCGCGCCGACCGTCCTTTGGGAGAGTTCCTGCGGAGACGTAGGCTGTGGTACGGCTTTAGGAGACTCAGCGCTTGTACGACACGGAGAACCTTGAGGAGGACGAGGCGGAGTAGGAGGAGGAGGAGGAAAGGGAGGAGGAGGAGGAGGAGGGAGGGGAGGAGGAGGAGGAGGAGGAGGAGGAGGAGGAGGAGGGGGAGGGGGAGGGGAGGGGGAGGGAGGAGGGGAGGAGGAGGAGGAGGGAGGAGGAGGAGGAGGAGGAGGAGGAGGAGGAGGAGGAGGAGGAGGGGAGGAGGAGGAGGAGGAGGAGGAGGAGGGGGAGGGGGGGAGGGGGGACAAGCTAGGTGCGCGCGCGTCATATCTGACGTCCTACCCCTCCCTCCCATCCCTTACCATGGCGCTGATTTTCTCTATCCGCGGACTAGTGGGTGGTGGTGCGCGTGCGTGCGTGCGTGCGTGCGTGGGTGCGTGGTTGTGGTGGTGGTGGTGGTGGTGGTGGTGGTGGTGGTGCTGGTGGTGGTGGTGGTGCTGCTGCTGGTGGTGCTGGTGGTGCGGTGTGGTGGTGCTGGTGTGGTGGGTGCTGGTGGTGGTGGTGGAGGAGGAGGAGGAGGAGGATGTGGAGGAGGAGGAGGAGGAGGAGGAGGAGGAGGAGGAGGAGGGGGCGGGGAGGAGGAGGAGGAGGAGGAGGAGGAGGAGGAAAGGGAGGAGGAGGAGGAAGAGGAGGAGGAGGAGGAGGAAAGGGAGGAGGAGGAGGAGGAGGAGGAGGGGGAGGAGGAGGAGGAGGAGGAGGGGCAGGACGAGGACGATGAGGACGAAGAGGAGGAGGAGGAGGAGGAGGAGGACGAACAGGACCCCAGAAGCTCCATCGTCGTAGGCCCTTACAAGGATTCAGTGCCACTTTGAGAGTCGCCCCGCTGGGAGACAGCCGCGTGAAGATCTTGAAGCGTACCACACCACCATTCTCATGGCTGTATGGCCACGGGTCAACCTGACTGTTGCGTCTTGGCGATCCTGAATCATGCCAGAAAGTCGTTCCTGGGACTTCAAGACCGCGAATGAACGTAACAGTTGCGCCCTGGCAGTCCTGACTTGTTTCAACACCTTTTCTAGCACGTCAGCTATGAGAAACCGCGAACCTCTTGCATTGTTTTGGACAGCGATTGCGCGCGGCGCTAAAGCGACAGCCACAGTTTAAACAGGAACTGCCCTCAACCCGCGAAGCCCCTGCAACATTCTAGAACGAATGTGCGCGGTGCCAAGGTAATAGCCACAGTTTGAACAAAAAACGCCCTCAATCCGTGCATGCACATTTGTAAATCGAATGCGGGCAAAAGCGATAAGCATATGTTGAAAACCATCGGTTCTCAATCCGTGGAGTTTTCCCACCTGTTCAAGACGAGTGCGCGCGGCGCTAGGGCGAGAGCCACATTTTGAAAACGGCCCGCCCTCCATCCGTGACTCTTGCAACTATTTGAAACGAATGTGCGCGGCGCTGAGGCGATCATCGCAGTTTGGGAACGACCCGCCCTCCATGTGCGAAATGGCTGCCAGCTTTTAAGCTGAAGGTTCATGAGTGGTAAGGCGCTCTGAGGCGAAACCTCCGGCCCGCCTTTCCGATTTGCTTCGGGGTGCGACAAGGAGGAGTTGTCCATAAGAAATAAGAATGGAGAAGGGTTGTAGCAGCAGGAGGAGCGGGCAGTCACGAGGGAAGTGCTAGGAAGGAAGACGGAGGAGGGGAGAGGCAGGAGGGACGAGGGACGAGGGATGACGCATGAGCGGGAAGAGGAAGAGGAGCAATTCCGATCTTGTTCTTTGCCCCCCCCCCCTGCCGAGCACTGGTTCTCCCGCGTGGCGCCCAACGGCTCGTCGCGTGCCCGCTGGTGTCCCCCGCCCTCGGCAACAACACCGCCGGCGGCGGCGGCGCTTCAGAAG